TAATAATGTAATTTCTTTTTATTCAAGTTTAATAATGTAATTGAAAATACTGTATAACTTTATTTTATGTAATAATTATGTTTTTAATAAAAAAAATATTTAAATTAATTATAGTGACAAGTATTAACAACAAAAAAAAAAAGATTGAGGAATTCACAAACTTATCCTATGTGAAAAACATCATTTAATTAAATAAATTGTTTAAAACAGTTCATTAAAGGAGGACACCAGAGGATAAATAACATAAGTAAGCGTGTATTTGTTTTTATTTAATTTAAAATATAAGACAATTTTTATTCTTTAAATTTAAGTGTAAATACATCTTAATCGAACTTTTCTTTCCAAAAATTCTGGGAAATAAGTTTTGCGTTTGATAATAAATAATGATTACTATATTCGTATTTAATTAAATAATTAAATGCATTTTATTATCGTATCTTTATATCGTATAATTATTTTACTTTTAATAACATTATATTTATCAGCGGTTCATTTTGATCTATTTAGCCTACTTAAAAAAGTATAACTAACTATTTTATCTCTATATTTATGTTAATTATTTTAGTCTTTATATCTAAAAAAAATCATAAATGAGAATTTGTTATGTTTTAGTCATTGTGTGTTTATTTTCTGACGAATTTACAAACATAAAAAATATTTATACAGTAATAAAATGATTGATTAAAGTTAAAAATAAAATTAAGTAAATTATCTGGAGGGGCAGGATCCCTATGAGTGATGAGTCCAATTGAGTTTTGTTTGGTAGCGAAAGCAAAGAAAGATGGAATGAGTTGTCATCCAGTGGGACAAATAAAGGAACATCGTCATCACATGCTTCAGAGTGGTCCCCACTCACAACCTCCAATTGCCTCCAATTTTTTTAATATTCAAGTCACATGCATCTGACATTTTAAATCAACAAAAATATAAAACTGTTAGCAGTAAATAAGGATCAATATTTTACTTCCACCAATATGACGTGAGACATTAATTCATGGTAACAATTTTAAGTTTAAACATAATTTTAGATCTATTATTTTTTTTTTCTGTATTAATATTGAAGTTGATGAACTGAAATCACGTGCATCTGACATTTTAACAACACAAATATAAAGTAATAAAACTGGTAGCAGTAAATATAATCAATATCTTTCTTATGGCCCTAACCCTAGTAGCAAGTTATCCAGAAAAAAAAAATCAATTTTGTGATTCAACAGGAGAAAAACCTTTAATTTTGTGCATTAGTGTAATAGCAAAATCCTTTTTTTTGTTTGGTGAAGTTTTCAATAAGTTGGGTGGGTCAGAAATTTAGCATCTATATAAATAATTTTCAATCGATTCACAAAAACCTTATTTTTTATTGTGCACGGATAATTCCAGTAGATAATCAATCAAATTTTGATTGACGTGTATGAAGCATTTGCATGCCAACACGAAGGAGCATAATGGAGAGATTAGAGTTGTTAATTCCAGATGCTATATATGCACAAATTGTTGAGTTGAAGCAAATTTCTAGAAGGGCTTTGCATTGGTGATAGAGCATTTATATGCAACACCAATAAAGATATCGTATATTAACAAAAATAACAAACATAGAATTAAGACCCTTTCAAATTAACTTAAATAAAAAGTACTAGCTAGTATGAGTGGAGCTGGCTAATTCCACAGAGCTCATGGTGTTCATTTATAACCCTTGATTTTTTGCATGGATTTTGAACCCTAGTAACGGGGAATGAGTGCTTAAATAGGTAAATGGACGGTAGGGTTCAAATTACAAGAGTTTAAAATCAAATAAAAAACTTGTATGCGACAAAAAAAATTAAATAAAAAACTAGTATTCCTTTTATATATATAGTATATATAAAATATATAGTATAAATATAGATATTTGTTTAAAAATAAAATAAAAAATAGAGATAACAGAAGTTGTATAATATTAGTATTTTGTATTTGAAAAGTGAATAATATAAAATAGTTATAGGAGTATAATTTATCTCTATATATTAAATATAAATAATTAACTTACATAGAAGTCTCTTTCTCTTTAATGACAACGTTGATTTGTATGATTTCTTTTAATTTTTTTATTTAATTTAATTTTTATTCATCACATTTATTTAATAATTAAATTTTATTATATTTAAAATAAATTATCAAAATTAGAAATAATCTCCTATCATAATAAATTATTTATATTATAAATTTAAAATATAATTTATATATTTAAAAGTATCTATTTATAAAAAATTTAAATATATTTTCTATATTAAATATAATATTTATATATAATTTATTATAAATTTTAGTTATATATAATAAATATTTTAACATGTATATTACATATGTTAAAATACTAAATAAAAGTAAAGATCATAAAGAAGGTACATGATTGATATTTTTAGATATAGATAGTGAAAGAGAATGATTTTCAAAATAGTTAGAAGAAGAAAATTGTTAAAATAAATTGTGTATAACAAAACACCTTATCACCTTTATATATTGTTATGGATATTGATAATTTTTTTATCAAAATTTTGAAAAACTTTTTAAAAAATATTATTGCCTTTTCAAATATAATTAATACCTAAAACTTGCTATTATTGTAGTAACAGAATATAAGTGGTTGAATAACTAATGATGAGTTAATGGTGTCTATCAATGGTTTTATTTTTTCTGATTAGATATAATATAAACTTAAAACTGGGGAGCAGATTTAAAGGATTTAAAAGTACATAAATTACACATGCTTTCAAACATGCGGGGATAGCTCAGTTGGGAGAGCGTCAGACTGAAGATCTGAAGGTCGCGTGTTCGATCCACGCTCACCGCAATTTTGTTATTTTTTTTTTCATTTTTCTTCCAAAATTTAATGAAGAGTTTATGGAGTGGTCCAGTAATACATATCTCACAGTTCACACTGAGCTGTGTAGCAATGCAAACCCCATCTCACTTGCAATTCTTCAAATAAATGTCAGCACTCAGATAGCATGTTTATCACGTGATAATCAATTACCCAAGGAGGGAAAAGTATTAACCAAAACCATGAAAATAGTGAATATTAACTTGAAGCTTAAACTAAAACATTCAACTGTTATATTGTCATGTATTTTTTATCCAACCTGACCTATTATGTAGTTAAAAATCAGCTTTTAATTTGACAATGCAAGCTGTAAATATAAATATTAAATACGTACTACTACTAAATCCTTAGTGTAGCCTCATAATATTTCATGATTGAATCATCCTAGGAATCTCGAACGAAACAACTTTTGTACCTTGACTTTTTTTAAGGTTAAAATAATCACTTTATTATTTTACTGGTAATGAACGTGGTTGATGGTTCAGTTGAATTCAGTTACTGGTAGATGCCGCAAATACATATTACTAGTACTACTATAAACAGTATTTATGATTTTGCATTGAAAACAGCATTCAGATGAGATGAAGTAATTACTGCGACTTGAAACTCAAGGATTGCGGGGCCTGCAAAATAAAGCATGTTGGTAACTTAATAAATGCTATCTGAAATGAAACACAGGACAGGGCAATGGATAACTGAATCAGAATCAATCTGTAGTTTAACTTAACGTCATCTCATGAATGCAGTTTTAGCTGCGTTCTCCTTCGATCGACTTTCTTATTCTATTCCAATCCTGCCACGTATTCTCATGTTGCTCTTTAAAGTATCAACAACCACCACCGACACGTCTTGCCAAATACTCCTTATAAGTTTCAATCACTTTCTTCCCATTTTTAAACTTATGGTTACCGGCTTTCTGCTTCGCCTTTAAATTTTTAAACCCAGAATGTTAATTGACTTTGGAGATTGGAGCCAGATGTGAATGGATAGGTGTAATAAAGAAAGAGAAAGAGAATAAATAGGAACAAACATGGGATAGAAAACAAAATAGAGAAAAAAGTAAGGACTTGTTTAATTCCCCTTTTCACATATTTTTATTTTAAAAAACTGCTTCTTAAAACAAATATACACAAGTTAATAATCTATTTCTCATTTAAATTCCAATATGTTTTGAAAATTGTTTTGATGCTCTGTTGTACATCGTTTATTTAACTCGCAATAATAGTTTCTAAAAAAATTATGTTGACAAAAATTTAGTAAAATAATATTTTTGTGATTGTAACAATATGTTTAGTTTATTTATATTTCTATTTATTTATTAATTTTGTAGGTTAACCTCCATTTTTTATATTTTTTTTTTCTTTAATTCTCACTGAGTTGACCCAATTCAACTCACAATCTATTCCAGATTAGGTTGGATTTTCAAACTCAATTAAAAAATGAACCCAACTGAATTCAATAATGTATTTTTTGATGGACTAAAGATGGAATGGGTTGGATCAGCCCATTTCACGTATCTAGCATGACTACAACTATTTTTGAGTTGTTGAATCAAAGTTGAATGCAAATTCAAGGTGAGAATGATCGAAATTTAAAGTGCTTGGTAAAGTGAAAAAAAGAGGTGGCAGTCCGATCCCCAAATTCATGACTGGGAAATATCAGGTGCCTTTTTCGAAGTATTTGATCGATTTCTGCCGAAATAGATACTGCCATCGCCTCATTCAGTCTCTTTACAAAATTAATTTTATAATTAATCATCTTTAATCGATACTAGTACTCAAACACTTGATCGATCTTATGAAAGAAACATGCTGAGATGGCAACTGTTCTTTATCCTTGTAATCAATACTGAAATCTGGAAACCTCCCATTGAATGCATGCACCAGGGGGATTACATTGGTGAAGTGTCAGTTTGATTGAACGAAAATAACAATCTGCGAGCAAGTTTGAGATTTGGGCTTGGTGTCTTAATTGTAATTTTAAAATATTTAATATATGGATTTGACTATCCACAAATCAATGTTAACGTCCCCTCATCGGCAGCTTTCACGTTAAAATTAAAATATTCTAGGCAGCTAGAGAGATTCGGGCTGTCCAAAATAAAACAGTACTAGAATTACAGAATATAACACGTTCGAACTTAAAAGCAAAGCAAGTGCAATACTTTGAGAAAGGAAAATTATATCTACTATCCGAGATATATAGAAGTTCTGAAAAATACAGCATCTTGTCCCCATGTACAATGTTAGTAACGTTTCCATAACATTTTCCCATGTAATCTACACAAAATTCATGCAAAGCGTGCCTTAGATACAGCAACAACAGAGAGTGAGAACATCAAAAAATGGGTTCACCAGCCAGATTCTCCAGACCGGCATTACTTGCTAGAAATTGTCAAAAGCAGGCCATAATGATCACTGGGTAAAACAGGGAGTACCAGTTGTTTCACCTCTTTTCTTACTTTCTTCTCTTTGTTGTATAAAACACCAGGTATTGCTTCCATCCCAACCATGTCAACACTAGCTATCTTAAAATCATGGAAATGGCATATAAAGCGATCTAATCGCTTTTGGAGAGTACGGTTGCCTGTCAACATCTGGTTTGATTTGGTGTCATAAGTCCAACCATTTTCATTTGGCCTTAGCTGAGACCAGGCATCAATCCATCCATCTTGTAAAGGATATGGACCATCATGTTTGTCATCCCAATTCATGTCACCTCCAAAAACAACATTTGGCTGTTTCTTAAGAAGATTTATAGCCTCATTGGCCTGCACTACTCTTTCCTTGCTGTACATTTGATCCCATTTTGGAGGGGCTGGACAGGGACTCTCAAGATGGCTAGTGGCAACCACTAATGACTTGCCACTTGCAGCTTCAACGTCAGCAATGCAAAGTTCTCTTCCCATTATAGAATTGCTGAAGGGCTTATTGCTGAAAGATTTCACAGGCAATTTGCTTAACTGCAATTAATTAAACAGGTATGTCAGTAGTCACAACTCCCTCTTTGCCACAACAAAAGTATATAATTTCAAACTCATGCAAAAACACCTCCAGCTTAAGCAAATAAGCCACTAAATGCCAAAACCACAACACCAAGCTCAAAGGATAAAACATCACGGCAATTATCTTTATCATAAAATATTGGGTCTATTTGTTTAAACTTAAAAATAAGTGTTTCTAAACAAATTTAAAAAAATAAAAAATTCTTTAAGAGACAGATAGGAGTTGCTTTTTCAAAAAAAGCAGAAAACTGCTTATTTAAAAAATATATATAAAGTGCTTATTCTATTAAAAAGGAATGCTTTTATAGGAAAAAAAAATTAAACAAACAGATCCATTAAAGCAGAGTTATCAACTATGTGAGCATGAACAAATGTGGTCCTATTTTCTAAAGACTCCAGCGAACAAAACAAACTACATTACATGTTAGCAGAAAAAACAAAAAATGTGCCAATCACACCTGAAATGGTGAAGGATATTAAATTTGAAACAAAAACCACATTATCAAAATAAATGCACCATAAAGGTATATATATCATTGGGTTCAAATCCTGTGCAAAGGGTGAAAGATATGAAACTAACCAGCATACAAAAGTAGGGTCTTGAATAAGCCATCTCAGAAGAAACAGAACAACGATATACACCCCACCATGTGGATTGCTTGAAAATGTCATATATATTGGGAGTAACTTCCTGAAGCAGTAGCGGTCCACATTAGACAAAGCCACATATATTCAAAACCGCAACAAAGAAGAAAGAGTAAAACCTGGAAACAAATTAAATCAGGCGAATGCAATTGAACAAGGTCGCCAATAGCCTTCATCCTCTTGTGCAACTCCAAGTCTTCCCGGAACCAAACATTGTAACTCAATATCTTAAACGAACTAAAATCTTTTCCTGAATCAGTATCCTCTGCCACGTATTAAAGTTGTTCATAAAAAACACGCAGACATTATAAAATAACCGATAAAAGGCATAGAATGATAGAAACACGCTCTCTCACCATCACCGGTGATATCGGTAGCCTTTTGGGATAGCTTGAGCTTCAGATTGACCCTCTCAGAAGAATCGTGGTGGTCGATGGCCTTTCTCTTGTTGCAGGGTCGAAGAGGGAAGAAAACAGAGCCAACAGAAGAATCGTGTTCAGTAGCGTCGTCCAAGTCTTTGAGATTGGAGAGGCAGCGAGTGCCGCAAACCTGGCAAGAGGGGTTGTTGTAAGGGTTTAAGAAAGTGCAGGCCTTGCACGACCATTTTGGGGATGACGAAGACGAAGAAGAAGGACCCATTGGGGATGCAGGGGACAGGCAGATTTTGCATTCCGATTTCTGAGAAGGGGGGTTCAGAAAGGTGCATTTTTTGCATGCCCAAGACATTGCATAAGGACTGCAAACAGTTTTAATTTTTCTAGGGTTTACGATAAGAGAAGAAGAAGAAGATGAAGAGATGCAGACTAGTAATCGCATTAAACTCATTTCAAATTTCATGCTCCGCAATCAAAACGCACCGCTTCGAATTCCAACGATCTTCTCCCAAAACGGCACCTATTACTAGGTCCTACGTGTACGGTGTATCAAATAAAAAAGTTTGGCAAAAGAAAGTTACTAAACACTATTATTCATATATTTTTTATCATTAACACATTTACGCTGTATGTATTTATTCATTAATTAATTAAAAATAAGGTTCTTGTCAATTTCACATTCTCCTCGATAACTTTTAGATCCTACCTTAATACCTTGATTATACTGTAATTATATATATTTTAAATTATAATTACCTATATCTCACATAAGTTATTCAAATTTATTTTAATAAATTATAAGTTTTAATTAAATTAAAATAAACATAACATATTTAATAGTTGATGTAAGAAAGTGTTTGATATACAAAATGTTTTTATTTGGGAATCTTGATTTGAAAATTTTATTTTTTCCATATTTGGTAATTATTTTAATTTTTTTAAGAATGTAATTTTTCAAAAATTATTTTTATTAAATTATTAGAGAACGTGAAGAAGAAAGAATATTAATTAATCATGAATTGAACAACTAAGACCTCTCATATTCCAAAAAGAATAAAATGAAAGGAAAATCTTCCCTGTAAATGATGATTCATGAATATACTTTCCTATGAGCTTTTTTTTATGGATTTATACCGAAGACCGTTTCTTTGTTTATCTTTAACTAACTCCACTCACAGGTATATCTATCTATCTCTGCCTTTGAATGTGGAAGAAAGTGAAGATCCGTTTGATATTGACGAAATCAAACTTTATGCACACATAGATGTTAACTGAAATTGGTTCCAAATAAAAAGGGTTGAATAGAAAATCCATGAAATGAGCTAGGAAGACTCAATCAAATCAAATAATCACAATGTTCACACCAACCACTAACTCACTAACTTTCGAAAAGCCAATTCCTATTTGAATTTCAAATGTGGTTGGCAGCAGTAGCAGACCCTCTGAGGTCATAAATATAAAAACCTGGAAGCTAGACTCAGTTTCTTGTCACAATTCAAAATATGCCTTTCTCCATTTGTTTTCACTCTCAAAATTTAATGTGCCCCCTCCTATTCTTTGCTGAGTCGTTGGCAAATTAAATGCCACCATATTTAAGGCTCTGCATCTCTGTCTCTGTCTCTGTCCAACCCTCTCTCTTCCATTATATTTTAAGAATCTCACAGGACACTATACTTACTCCATGCTGCCTTCTTCATCACCCTTCATCAAACTTTCCATGTATTGTGTTTTCTGGTGAAGGACATATTGGAGTTACCAAGGGGTAAGCTTTTCTTATCACACATACATATATATTAACCAATGGTTGTTTCTTTAGAAGGTGCAGGAAGTGGTGGAGGATCAGACTTCAAACGTATAATTAAGAACTTGGGATATTGGTGCGGTTCAATCAGAACGCAGTGTTTTATGATCCAAAAGCTCTGTGTTATTTGATTGAGCCGTGCCAATATCACATGTCATCTTTGGCAATTGCAGCACCTGAAACTCAAAGGTTATTGTTTCATGAATTGTATTATCATATACTTACATATGTTGATTGCTGGCATGTGCCTAGAGTTATGAGTAGCAATGCCAACTAAACTAACTGTGACAAAGAAAGTGAGTGCCATAAATTGGTTCTTTTTTTCTGCAGATTTGAGCTTCATCCTTCTAGTTAGCCACTTTATGATTGATGGCCCACCTTTCAACCTATTTTCTTCTTGGTGTCTCCCATGAGTGATGATCAATTTTTTTTGGTGTGGGATCGAATGAATTGGTATGGTAGGTAGGAATTTTGTTTCAGCTTTTTTTTTCTTTCTCTCGAGTGGTAGGGACTTCATTAGAGGTGGATCAAGTGGCAACATAAATCTTTCATTAGGTTTACTTTGCTTCTATTTAAAGCTTCGTTCTTATACCAACTATAATTGGTCTAAGTGGTAGTAAACTTAATTTAATAAATTTTTCGAGTTTGAATAAGCTGGACGGGGATGGGGATGAGTTTAACTTGCGGGGACGGGGACGGGTATCATGAAACCCGTACCCGCCCCGCCCCGTTGCCATCCCTAGGTGCTATGCTGAGTGGTGTGATATTATAGCCGCTAAGTCGGTGCTGTATTTAGCCACATATGTGGTGCTGTGATAGCCGCTAAGTCGGTGATGTTGTTGCCGCTTTGCGGTGCTGTTAAAGCCACTTGAGCGGTGCTGTTATTGCTGCTGAGCAGTGCTGATATTGCCGCATTGCGGTGCTGATATTGTTACGTGTTGTGAGTGGTATAAGCTGTACATGTGTGCTGATAGCTGTAGCTGTTGTTTATCCTATTGATATATATTTGTATGTTGAGTTTTAATTACACTAGCTTACCCTTTGTTGTTTCCATGATGTTTGGACTGCAATGATCATACTATGTATGGGAGCAGAGCAGGGATAGGTGGGAGTCTTGTGGTGAGTCTCCAGCAGATCGGTGGAGCTAATCTCTTTTATGATTCTTTTTGTTGTTGAGCTACTTGGGACAGTAGTATATGATTGTATTCCTTTTTGGTACACTTTAACTCTGTTTCAGATTGGATCATGTATATGTATATTCTAGACTCTATATGTATAGAGTTGTTCTTTTCTGTGCGGTGTTTCTAGTGTGCTGTGCCGTGTGTAGTGACTAGCCGGGTCTTTACATTTAATATAAGAGACGATTTAGAAATGAACTATATATATATATATATAATATATAAAGCTAAAGTATTCTTTTTAAATAAAAATTTTCTCTTATATTATTTGATTTCTCTTTCTCTTTCACTTCTTCTCTCTTCTTCTTTCTCCATCTCTCCTTCTGCCTCTCCTCTCCTTCCTATATATCTATCTCTCTCTTTCTTGAATCTCATTATTTTTTATCGTTATCAATTTTAATAATATTATTAAACCATGTTTTGATTTTACAATTTAATGGTATTTATTAACATTTTTTATCTATTTATTTTTTATTGGAATGAAATGAAATAACATATTTATATCTTTTTTATTTGTTATGTAACATTTTTTTGTTTATTTCTTTTATATTTAAATAATTTTAACAATAAATTTTTAACTTTTTAAAATAGTTTAATGACAAATCTGTAATAAAATTTGTGTAAATAAATATATTTAATAAAAGATATTTTTATAAAAAAATATCTATATATTATCTACTATTGTAATCAAATATAAATTTTTTTAATTATTAAGAATTAAGAATCTTTATGAATACTCAAATAGATTTTAGTTATTTTTAAAAATCATGATTGTGAGGATTTCTAATTCTTAAAGATGATATTCCTATGTATGAAAAGAAAAATCTCATATCAAACATCTCTTAAAAGAAAAACATATTAATATCTTCTTTATTCTACACCACCTTTTCTATTGTTAGTAAAAAGCTTACTTTATGTTTATTTACTAATTTATGATTGTTGTTCTTAATGAGAATTTGAAGAAATGCTAGCATGTCTATTTTTGTTAGATCATGTTGGTTTTATGATGTCCGTTGTGAATTTGAGTTTGTAATGAGGGTGTACATACAATCTTTATTTTTAAAGTTTCATTTTGATTGAATATTCGTTATTCATTATATTCCATTTTAATTGAGTGAAATTATAAATAATTAATTGAATTATTTTGACCAAGTTGCATTTTAATATTCATCGATAAAATACCCTTTTCCTTGAAACATAACTCTTCGTAAACCATAAAGCTACAACAGTGACTCTTCATTGTTCCAATTTATGTTTGGTGTTGGAACGCTATTGAGAGTTGAAGAATCATCTTCTTTGGTCTTCTTCATTGTTGATAGAAAGTTCATGTTTATTTACTAGTTTATGATTATAGTTAATGAGAATTTGAAAAAATGCTAATAACTGTGTTTATGTTAGATATATCTTGATTTATGTTGTCAGCTACAAGTTTATGTTTGTGATGAAGGTATTCATACAATACTTGTTATTAAAGCTTCATTTTGTTGAGTATGCATTACTGTTATAATCCATTTTAATCAACTGAAATTATAAAATAATCAGTTAAATTATCTTTACCAACATCTATTATAAAGTAATCGGTTGAATATTTTGACACATGGACCATGTTTATCACTTTAATCAATTTAACATACTAAGTGACCATTTAAATAATTTGACTCGCAATTTAATTGATTGAAATTCATATGTAATCAATTGAATTGCTTTAATAATCTTATATCACTTTGAAACACGTGATTACCAAATGAATTATGTTTTAATAGTAAAATTGAAATTTATTTATTCATTTTATATCTTCTTTTCTTTCCATTGCTACAAAAAAGTCTCACAACGTTATTTCTTTTCTCTTTCTTCTATTTCTTAAACTAATCAACTCAAATTTTTCTTCTATTCTTTCTATCTAATTTATTTTTTCTCTATTTCTTTCTAACTATTTTTCTTTTGTTTTTATTTCTTTTTCTCTTTATTAAAGAGAGAATAAATTTTGCAACCCAATTTCATTATCAAATTCTCTTATTTTGAATTTTAAATTCAAATTCTTTTAAATTACATATACAATTTTTTTTTTACCATTATGTAATTGGTTTAGATAGAACTAAACATAATCCCTTAAGCTATAAATTTGAGCGTTGTGAAAAAATATGATTAAAAAACCAATAAAAATAATCAAAATATGTGAAAAATAAAAAATTTCAACAGAATAAATCTTCACGATCACGATAAATATTTTATGGTTTATCACACGTTAATCCAAAAAATATGTATATAATTTTCTTTTTTGTAATTTTAATTTTTATAATCAACATTTATATTAGTAAAATTTATTCAAATTAATTACGTATAAAACACGTTGAAAAAAGTTGGAATAATATTCTCAGAAAATGAGAAATGGTTGGTGTGAACGGCACCATCACAATTTTTTGGTAAGAAAAAATATCATCCTCAGGCTCAGCTACACAGCTACCTTTCAAAGCTAACTTTTTTATTCTGGATGAAAAAAAAAATTGTTTGGTATTTGGTCAGGTCTCTCTCACTCTAGTTTATGTACATAAATATGCAGAGAAAATTTCAGCCAAAAAAATGCATGGAGCAAATAGAAGGGTAATGGAAATGAAATTTTGGGAAGGGAAAAATAAAATACTTGAAATTGATTAAAAGTGACCAAAATCATGGGCCTCCAACACAAAGATAATGGTGACATGTGGATACACATTCTACACAAATTGATTAAAAAATACAATTTTAAGAAATACATGCGTTAATTACAAGAGCCCCAGGGAAAATTATTAACCCTGCTTTCTTAAAAAAGGAAGCATCTACATAAACAAGATTAGACCTATAGATCATGCGCGATTCCTTTCTCTTATGACCTCATCCTTAACTCTATGAAATTCAAAATTCCAAAAAAAGAACAAAAAATTGAATTATTTGCACCTCATAAAAGGACTAACAACAAAGTAGGCAGAAATGCAGCCAAGAAAATGTGCAAAATGTTGTTAATTGCACTTATTTTTAAGCTGTTAAAGGTTTTGAACCCCAACTTTTCCCCTGCACTGCTTGATATAGTAGAGTTTACCACTTCCTTTGTCTTGTTGCTCACTTTCTTGCTGCATCACATAAAATGATGAATCAATCACACTTGGGTTGTTCAATATAATTCCAATGTTCAGATTTTGAGCATCACAAAGATCCTCATTATAGGACCATGAAAATTTAAAAAACCATACAATATTTCTCACCTTCCAGGAAATATACAGCTCCCGTGACCTGCAAGGGTATTCCCCACACAGAAGAAAAAAAAATATTAATCACATATGCTACGCCTGGAATAGACAACAAAGAGAAAAATACAAAACACCGTGGAGCCCATTTTGCACTGATTCAATCTCTAAAGTACTTGGTTGAGCTAGCAAGCAAGACTACAGTAAGAAAACTGCCCCGTGAATATTAGGAGAGTACGAAAATTACAAGTATGTGAAGGTAATCTAGAAACACGGTCCAGAATCTTTGCAATTGTCAGGAGAAACAGTGTGCTCTCAGACAAAGCAGCATAGCATCCAACTAAGTCATGAAGTGGGTGCCAGTCCATGCCATGACAATGCAATTACCAGCCCCCCCTTTCTATTTCAATTTTCACATCATAGAGCCAAACAAAAAGTGCCCGTGGGCACCACACATAAAAAAATGCCTGGAAACTGGAATCATTACCTCCCCACACCTCTATTTTCAAGTAAAGTGTAATGAATAAGGGCTCTTTGAGCCGTGAGGCGTGTTGTGACGTACCAAACTTAATTCACCTAAACTTTTTGTTACCAAAAAAAGTAAAGTCTCTCGCATTAGTAACAAAAGGTATTTTATTGAATAAATTACACCGACACCCCTCCTCAAATCTGAACAAGGTAAGGTAATTAGAGAAAACAAGGAAGAAGGACACAGTTAGTGTAATCTGAACAACACATTAATGAATAATGATCTATTTCTAGTTTCTCTTGTTTCCAATTCCATCTTAATTGAACACGAAAACCCACAACAGAACTTACTGGGATCAGTGGTGGTGATCATGGCCACTCCTTTGAAGTCACAAGTCCCCTGAGCCTTGCCTTCTATCTGGTAATAGCTATCAAACGCATAAGAAGCATGATTGTTGACATTATTGGGCTGGTAGCAACTCTGTCCAGGCTGAATCTGGGAGCAATTAGCCCGGCCCGGGCCACAGGCCCAATCCAAGGCAGCCTGCAAAGTCTTGGAATCAAAACCATCCATGGCAATGCAGTAGGTCTGGTTGGTGGTATCATTGGCCAAAAATGTCCCAATTCCAGAGACATGAAGCAAATAGGCGGGCGTAGTGTTGCCGTAAAACAAACCCCAATTGGCCTCAGACAGAGGGGGAGCCCTCAAGTCTTCGTTAAAAAGCTCATAGATAAAGACACTGGAAGTGGTTTCGGGGTGCAAGGGGGTTCCGCTGCGATCAAAAACGTGGCTAATGAGATTGGAATTATAAGTGTCAGCATTGTCCTTGGTGGCATAAGGCTCCTTAGAATCACCCTTGGCAGGCCAACCAGTTTCGGTGACTAGCACAAGAACGTCGGTGACATTGAGGTTCTTCATGGAGAAATAAGCGGCATCAAGCATGGCGTCGAGAACGTTAGTATAGTGAAGCAAGGTGTTGGGGTCGACCATCTCTTTATTAGGAGTGAGGGGGTTGAAGAGGGCGTTGTCGAGGGGAACGACGCCTTTGTTCTGCATGAAGACGTAGTAAGGGTAGAGGTTCATCATGAGAGGGGAAGCGGTGCGGGAGAGGAAGTTAAGGAGAGGGAGAATAACAGGGAGAAGGGTTTGGTTGAAGTAGGCCTGAGAGGGAGGGAAGGGGTCGAGGATGATGGAGGCGGCGTGAGGGGTTGAGAGCTTGATGTGTTGGTGGAGGTTCGAGGCCACCAGGGCGTTGTGGAGGGACTCCAGGGCGGGGAGGATGAGTGGGGCGGAGGAGGGCACGCTGGTGAGGACCTCGTCCCCCACGGAGATGCCCGTGATCAGGGTTTCTGGGTAGTAAGCCACCACGTTTCGGTCGATCCATGAGGCGGCGGTGGCGTTGGAGGAGCCCATGGCCAGGAGCTGGTTGTTGGGGACACTGATGACGACGCCAATCTTTGTGCCCGACAGGGCTTTCAGGATGTCCGGGTTTGCATCGTAGATGCGGACGTGTGTTATTTTCTGCACTTGGAGGAACGCCACCAGCTCCGAGGCTTCTGGAAGGTTCGATACGTCTGTGCCTATGTTCACTCCCACGAATGGAACATTCTCTTCTGCTTCTGCTGCAATGCAATGCAAAGTGCGTTAGTTACTAATTTGGGTTTTCACATGTTTGTTGGCTGGTTGAATAAAATTAGATACCCAAAGTAAAGAAGAGGATTTGAATGAGGAGGAGGATGAACTTAGATATTGCCATTCACTGAGAATGAGATGATGAAAAGGAGCGTCCACTTTACTTCCTCATCCCCTGCTTCTGCTTCTGCTACAGCTACAGACTCTTGCATTATCTCATCAAAACAGATTATTATTTATTTGTTTTCTAGTATATAAGGTAGGTGGGAGAGTGAACAGAAGAAGAAAGGGTAGAGAGGGTTAAGAATTTAAGCAGAGAGAGGGATGGTAAATGGTAATTGGTAGTGCATGCATACTCACTTCACTCTCTTCTCCGACTTTACTGCAACCTCCTTCACATTCTCTATAATGCCCTTCATGGAAAGGAAAAAATAAAAACAAGGAAAGATATCATCCAAAAAACATTTTTAAACTGTCTTTAAGATTTAAATATTTTACACTTTTTTCTTTATTCAAATTGGATTCCCTCTGGCCTCTGCTATGTATTAAAATTAGGATTAGGAAGAAATACATCTCACGGACTTAATTTGGGAAAGGGGGTTGGCTTTCTTTGTCAGAGTTTAACCATTTGCGTTGCGCACAAGAAAGATAATTGTCGGGACTTCGGACAACATGGCTGGGGTAAAACTGTAATTGAATACTTATTTGGTGGAAGACAGTAGTTTGCCTCCTAGTATTTCTTTTTGCTACTATTTGCCTTCTTTTTCTTTCTCAACAAAAATATAAAATGGCCTTCTGTAGTTCTGTTTCTACTTTCTACCCAATGTATCTTCTAATGTGTGTGCTCAATGGGGAATGCTCCACACTCCACACTCCACAGAGATATAGAAAATTAAAGCCAGAAATAGAATGAGAAGAAATTGAAAAAAAATATATTTGACTTTAAAATAATTAAAAAATAATTCAGAAAGGTAGAGTGACAGTTTTACTCCGGAAGCAAACACACAAAAAACAGGTTGCTCGTGGCTTTGTTAATTACCATATGAGCTAAAACAGTCATACGGAATATAATACATGATGTAGTGAACCAGAATGACATAGTGAACCAGAATGACAGAATCACATGTGCTCTCATGTAGAATATCACAAGCATCGAATCAACCTTTCACCATTGTCAAGTCATTGGGTAGTTGAATACCCCTTAGCATAATCTATCTTTTGATTGCTTATTGCTTAATCTCAAGAAAGATAACTTTGGGCCACCAACAAGCCCCACTCATATATTTGCTACTTTGAAGCTTTATATTTTAATAATAATTACAATAATTAGTGAAAGACTAACAATCATTATGTTTGCTTAGATGGGCGATTTTATATCAACAAGGAAGAAAGGGAAAGGTATTGGGATGTCCCAACTCGTGGCCACTAAGATACTCTCTATTGGTACGATAAAAGAGCTTAGGATACCATTGAACCATCACACTGGGGTTGCTCAACCACAAACTAGCCACATGTTCCCATCCCTATGATAAAATTAAAAATAGAATAGACCTTAAATAACGAAAAAGGCAAAAAGCCGAGCATAAATAGACATAACAAAGTTATATATATTAATGTACTAAAAGTTATGTCACCTTGCTGTTGAACTTGAAACAGTAATAAGCTGTTCTGTCAACCTAGCAAAATGGTAACTGTAACTTGCAACAGTTTACTTTTCTCACTTTCCATTCACTGTTTCTTTTCCTGCAAACAGCACTTTGTCGGGTCAATTTTCAAATCAGACCATCACTAATTCGCTGCAAACATAATTGAGAAGGCAAAATTTCTTAACATGTACTAAATCTTGCCAAACATAAAATGCCAGTTATTCATCGTAAAATTACCTAACACATATAAGGCATCACTAATTCGTTGAATTATTTACTTGTCCCTGTATCTAAATCTAATCCCACATTACACAATAGTTAATTTTACTTGACAAACTAAACTCCCACTTAAGTATCTGAGTAATTGAATTTAAAGAGCAGGGAGTAGTGACAAGAACTCTGCAAGTTCTGACAGACCAGTACACTGCATGAAGCTATTGGATTGGCCGCCAAGATTGCTGCATCCATGAATGGGAGGAGAAATGTGTCATTCATGCTTTTGCTTCAATTATGCCTGCAATTGCAAAATTATATTTCATCCTAAGGAAAGGAACGCATATTTTACTGCAAAGAGAAAGAGCGTTTCTTTGCAAACACCAATATTTAGGCAAAATTAGATAAAATATTTGCTTAACAACATCAACTTGATATTAAAAAATGATATAATTAACATGTTAAACCCAATTAAAGGAAATGGATAACTCGAATTCAGATAAAAATTTAAAGAATAAAAAAAACATTTTAAAATGATTAAAATTAAAAGTGATAAACACGTATTAATTTATTAAAAAAATGATATTTCATGTTAATATTAATATATTTAAGTATATGAAAAATAGAAACAAAAGAAATTTCCAATTTTAGGAGCTAAATTAATAAAATTTATACATGAGAAACAAATTTAATAAATGATATATGTTCAAGGAGTAAAATAAAAGTTGAGTCTAAAATTAATATATAAGGTATCAAATTAAAAGTAATGCCTTCTTTTAAGACCTAATTACCTAATTAATAGACATATATCTTATAATTAATCAGAGTATATGTCATATATTATTTTTTTTCTTCTAATTAATATTTATCTTTATTCTAATCTATTAGAGTGCATATTAATTAAAGAGTTTATAAATAATATATTTTATTAAATTAAGAGAACATATTTTAATTAGAAAAATTTTAGTCTAAAAATAATTAATATATAATAAAATATAAATTGAATCTTATATATAAAAAAGTGATTATTTTAATTAATCTTATAAATAAGAATAAAAATAGTTTTTTTTTTCAAGAAATGTATCTATACTAAGGATTACTTATTAAAACAAACTAAATTTTTTGTAAAAAGTTATATGTTCCAAAGTCTTACTTGTAAAGAACTAGTTTGAGATATGAAATAGGAATAGGATTGGGATATATTAACTTGAGAGATGACAAGTAATCACTAATCACCTATGAAACAGGATTTTATTGAATAGTAGTTGAGGAAGAATGTTTCAAATATTATGTGATACATACGTGATTAATTTGTATGAAACATGATTTTATTGAATAGTAATTGAGTAAGGATGTTTCAAATATTATGTGATATATACGTGATTAATTTGTATTAAATCAGAAGTTATAGTTGAAAAGAGAAATGAATATTAAAAAGATGGAGTGTATATATTTCAAATTGAGTGGTAACTTTTGAACACTCAAATAAAATAACACACTATTGATATATCTAATTTGTGTTTATCTTTTTTTATTATTTTTTTTACATATTATCAATTATATTAATCACTTATCTTTTCTCTTATTTTATATCTTTTGAGTATAATTTTTTTTCTTTATTCTTTCAATTTTTAGGAATTAAATGATAAATTTTACATCCGAGAAACTAAATAATTGAGAGTATAATTTTCAATAACTAAAAGAAATTCTAGTGCATACAATTATGGGGTGCCGAGAGGCAAGTTTCACGCCTCTTTGACTATTAATCTATATATTTTGAGAAGTATGAAATATAATAATAGGATAAAAGTAGCTATTAATGAAGTATATCTCGATATATTCATAATGGAAAAACTCACATAAGCATTGTCTAATCATAAATAAATCATTCATCTAGAAAAGAAGAAAATCAATTACTCCCCTACAGACTATCACAATACCACCATAGCAAGATGGTCTAAAAGTAAAACTATTCAAAACTGAGGATCTTATTTGTATAGACTAGAATCAAACCCGCCATTTTCACTTCTAACTAGTTATCGGAAGAATCTGTGAATGAATGAATGGTATACCGTGTAAAGAAGGAGCCTGTACGTATGCTCACACTTGAATTGCAAACCCAAAAAAGAAAAAATTTCATGACAGTCCTCATCTCAAGGCATTTACAAAAGCCATCAAGGAATCAACATCTCTCTTCTCTGAGGGATACTTTATCGGGCGAGACGAATGCTTTGGGAAAAATAATATCGTGGGGAAGCTTCCCAATTCCAATTCACGTTTTGCAAATTCTTTCTCCTCTCCATCCGCTCTAAATTTTCCAACCTTCACCCCTGACCCTTCTAACTTGTCCGCCAACTCAACATAAGATTCCTCCATTGCCTGTTGCAATTCAGAATATAGACCACATTAGAGAACAAACATTTCAACCTACCATCATAATGAGTGACACAATCTTAACAAAATACAAGATCAACAAGTTGAGTTTACCTGGCAGTAGGGGCACCATGGTGCATAAAGCACAACAAGCCATGGTTCTTTCCGGTTCTCCAATTTTGCCAAATTCTCAATTCCAGTCCTACTCAAGTTAACCACATTATGGCTATTGAAAATGTCAGGCACTGCGGCAGCACCATTAGCCTGAGATTGGGATACCCCATTCCCATTTCCATTAAGGTGAGCATTAGCATCCTCCCCCTGCTTTATATTTCCTTTGTGAAGACCACATTCTTTGGCTTTGGCATCCTCCCACCACCACCTTCCTTCCCTTTCATGTTGTCCAGGCAAAACAGGCCTTGTGCAGGGCTCACACCCAATTGAAACATATCCTTTTGAATGCAAGGAATTCACAGGCACATTCATGGTCCTAAGGAAGTTCCATACGTCATTTCCCTTCACATTAGCAACCGGGTTCCACTTCACCAAACTGCCAATTCCACCATCCATTCCCTCAAAAACAGGATCAACCTGAACAACCGGTATTTCGGACCTAGTACCAGGTGACTGGTCTTTTCTCTGACCCGTTATCCATGCTCTGAGACCCTTAAGGGCCCTCCTCAAGGGCCTCACCTTCCTCACCCTGCAGCACTCTTGATGACCATCCTCATAAAACGAGAACAATCCCTTACTCCTCACCAATGCCTGAACCTCAACAGCATCAGGGAACATGTACTCGATGTGGATTCCATAATGCTTTTCAACCGCATCAAATAATTGATAAGTTTCCGGGTTCAGTCTCCCAGTGTCCAAACTGAAAACCCTAAAGGGTCGACCCGTCAATCGTGCATACTCAATCAAAGCAACATCTTCAGCACCACTGCAAAGACATCAAAATCCAGATAGAAAAATATAAACAAGTCACAATTTTTCAACGCCAATATATAAAACACAAAAATGAATGGCACGCAATTGAATTTTGAGTAATAAAAGAAATAATGGATGGAATGAGGTACCTGAAGGCAATGGCTATGTGGTTGCCGAATTTGGCGAGGGCTGTATCCATGATTTCAAGAGGTGAAGCATTCTCAAGATCAGTTGCTATTTGTTCAAAATTTTCCTCTTTTGTCTCTGCAAATTGAACACGTCGTTGCTCATTACATTATCTACGATTTCATTAGTAACATAAGGTGAATGTGTTGATTGATTTATAATTAATTAATTATACGTACCGGAAGCAAGGACGGTTGCTGCAAGAGGAACCAGGGAATCCTTGCGTGGCGATTCGGCATTAACGGGCTTTAGGAAGCTCCGTCTTTGAGCGAAATTAAAATTAACCGCGGCTCCATTGGGCCTCTCTGAAATCCTAATTGATCCAATTTGCGGAACTGAAAAAAAAAAAAAGAAGAAAGAAATGGGCCCATAAAAAAACGCAATTGATGAGATGAGAGTTGAAAATAATGTGAGAAGAGAACTGAGAAAGAAAGAGAGGTGTTACGTTGTTTAGGGTTAGGGTGTGATGATGGGAAGGGGGAAGATGGTGCGGAAATCGAAGAAGTGAAAGCGAGGGCCATTAACTCTTGTTATTCGGAAATGAAATGAAATGTGTTATAACTTATAAGGGAGAGGAGAGTGGATATATCATATATAAAGGCAATTTAATGGGTTCATTGAATGTGGACGTGTTTTCGGCATCCACTTGTGCCCTCATCGCTTCCGTCAGATCTTCCATTCACAACCACAACCACACTCGCTTCCGGGATTCTTCTCCTTTCTTTTTCTTTTCTTTTTTCCTGTCCTTTCGATTATATATATTGCATTTGCATCACGTTTTTTACCAAAATTATTATTCAATATTCACTTTTATTTCCTTTCCTTCACTTTTTGCCTTTCTATCATGTAAGCCACATCTTAGGTTCTATTAATAGAGAGATTGTCAAAGTAACACAGCCATAATAACCACATAATTAATTAAAATCTATTTAAAATCTTTAAATGGTCATGTGGTAGAGGTTGGAACTTGGAAGGCCCAGCTGTAATTAATTAACGAATGATTTGGTTAATGAAAATTAAGAATATAATTTGGTGTAAGCAATAAAATTAAGTGCATAAAACACTTAACAATCCCCACAACTAACCCACCCAATGATTCAATGAACGAAGATCTAAAAAATAGCCTCGTTGAATAGACACTAGTTTAACAGTACAGAAGAGGCTTGAAAAAGTTCAAATTGTTTATCACTGGATGCTTTCTGTCAATTTTTGTATGAGGTTCGTGGGATGTATCCAATGCCCCTTGGAGAAGCCAAGAGATTTCATAATAGTATTATTTATGAGAAGTTAGCAAACTACCCACACGCAGTACGTACTCAAAAAGGAGAACAACATCTAGGATAATTATGTATCATATGTGAAACACATGTAATATATAAAGGGATTAATAAATAAATAATTAAGAATTAAATTATAAATATGTTTAATGGAATAATTTTGAACAAAATTATTATTTAATGAGAATAAAAAGGATATTTGGGAGATAAATATTACAATAGTACCCGTGTCTATTTCATTAACAAATAATCATCTTCATCATGTTGTGAATAATTCATGATTGTATTCACTTATGTAAATATTTTTTATCATTGTATTCTTGTTTAATTAGTAAAGTTGCGACACTTTGTGTCTTTATATTTTATTTAATAAAAATATTTAAAAATTATTAATATTTGTTTAATTAATTGGTGTTGTGTTTGATTTTCAAATCTCAAAACCTTGAGTTTGAATCTTATTTTTATAAAAAATAATTAATTTTTAATATTATTATTTATTATTTAAAAGTTTCTGGATTAAATCATCTAAAAAATTGTGTGCATCAAATTCGGCTTATTGCCTTTATATATGTTATAGAATAGGGGAAAAGTGACACTATGTTATGGACTATGGAAAAAAAAGACACTACTTATATATTTCTAAATACTTTTAAAAGTAAAATAAACAAAAAATTATAATAGTATGAAATTATTTAGAATTTGTTCTTACCGGAAATCTGCTGTAGAGCTGATCCTCCGAGTAAGATTGGTGAGCCTCCTTCGCTGGTACGCTTGATGCTCCAAGATGGGGGTGATACCTGCAAAAGAGACTCCGATGTTAAAGTTAATGTTTGTGGATGTAAGAGTCTCGTATAAGTAATGCACGTACCTTTGTGTGTATTAGGGTTTTGTTGGGCCTTGGGCCCGAGATCAGTTTATGACCTAATTGGATAGCGAGCCGATGTCGCATAGCGCGTGTCCGAGGTCACTCCGCGATGTGATGCCGAACTCGAGCTCGACATAGCAGTACGGATAGTACACTAGCCCCCCGAGCTCCGAAGACCGAGCTCGACAAGGGGTCATGATTTTTCGCGTACGCCTATTTGTCATGACGCCATGTGTCATAACCGTCACCTCGTTCCCATAGCGCGTGGGCGGCGCGGTGACAAGATTGTATTTTTATTTGTTTGATGACGTGGCCTCTTTGGGCCGATGTGGTGTTCCGATGTTCATGTTTCATGGTCGGGCTAAGGAGCTCGGCAATAATGAGCTTACTGCTTGGTTAGGCTGGTAAACCTTTGACCGAGTCAGCAGATTGGTGAGGGACAAGTCGGCAACTCGGCTGGCCAGTACACTAGCCCCCCAAGCACCGAGTGATGTAAGAGCAAAGGGGCTTCTGAGGAGTTCCCAAATTTGTTGTTTGAAGGTTCAAATTCGACCTTGTTAAGTAGATGTGATCTCAAG